TTTCCTATTTCAATAAGTTTTTTGAACAATTTTTTCTCTGTTTTTTTCAAATTAAATAATCTTAATGTTATTCAATCCTGATAAATTTTTGGTTAGATGTGGACATGGGCTAGTGCTATTATAATCCAAAGACAGATTCAAATTATCTTGATTGGTTTTTGAGTTATGGCCGAAATGAACATTAATTTCTGAACAACCTGATATATTGAATACTATCAAACCGACTGCGCCTATGTTGTGGTCACGCTGTGGTCGCGAGTGGTGGTCATGTGTATTGACACATAACCCGATTGAAAACTAAGGTGTTTACCAATGGATGCATGGATTCAACCCTTAGTTCAACCGTTGGCCACGAGTGAGAGTATTGATGACAATCAGGGCATAGAGGACTCGGTTGCCGAACACCTTAGTTCGCGACCAGTCTTAGGCTAGAGTTGGCCACCAATACGCGTGAGGGATGTGTTGTTGAGATGTTGTCTCCGTCGACACCAGTGCAAGACATTGAGAGTTAGTGTGAGAGAACTGTTAGATCAGCTATAGTGACAATTAGATGAGTGACTCCTGAGGAATAGTATGAATGAATAGACAGCACATGTGTAACAAATGTGAGACTTTATTAGCACTTATGAGACAAAGAGATAACTGTGTGTAATGTGTGAGCCCTGTGTGCGACCGTTGCTGTCGACAACACAACAGAGACTGAGGAGAGAGATATGGGATGTATGTGTGAGTACAAGTGTTGGGCGGAAACCTATACAATGATAAGGAAATGCATAGATGTGCTGACATCTAGAGACAAGCCATGAGAATTTAAAAAATTGTTTTAAGTAATTGTGAATGTAGCCATGAAATTATAATGATTATATTTTTATAATCATATTTAAAGTCAAATCAAGTTATGCTAATATATTTTTGAATGCAATTGCGTGTATAATATTAATAAAAGTATCTGATATAAATTTTATAATTGCTTTGAGTTGTTTTCAAATTATAAGCTTTTTATTTATTTTTAATAAAAACAGTTTACCTTGAAATGAATTTTACTTTTTTATTTGTTTATTTATCTAATTAATTTTACGGAATATACTACTTTTTAGTTTTGAATCAAAAACTTTTGATATATTAGAAAACAAAAATGTTAAAACAATACGTATAATCTTAATAATTAAAATATTAATAATATAAGATAGTTACTTTGTTTTATTTTAACTTTAATGAGAACTAAGTTTAAAATGTTTCTAAATTATAAATTGATTTAAAGATCGACCGATACTTTAGCACAGAATAAGTTACTAACGCGTCGGTCGTCCTGAAGATGAGTCCTCAGGTCAAAGGTGTTGGCCTCAGGCAAGAAGTCTTCCGGCAATTTGAAGGCAAACCTGAGGTGTTGTGTCACACCTGAGACGATAGGACAGGGAGTGTCGTGACAGGCGTCGGTGTCAAAGCCTGCAATGTTAGCAAGGTCGTATATGCCACCACTGTATTTGGCAAATAGTGTCCATTTTGGTGCCCATACTGTTTGAGCTGTTTTTGGAGATATAATTGTATTAATTTATTATTTAGTAGATTATAAATTTCCAGAGGATTAAAATTACAATTCAATACTTACTTAGTCTGTAGTCGATATCAATGACAACTTCGTGTCCCCTCTGAAGAATACATGGTTTGGATGGTTCGCAGCCACTGATCGATAGACTCAATACATCTCCATATGTCTGCCCGAGTTCTAGAAATAAATATATTTATAATTAATTATAAAAATTAAATATTTAATAATATCTAAATAATACCGCAATCAGTGAATGAAATTGGGGCTGAATTAACAACAACTGTGAAAATCGCCAAACAAACTAACTTGTACATTTTAATTAAATGTTTTATTAACTGTTGAATAATATTTTTATAAAATCTTAGAATTATATTTACTAATAATTATAAACATAAGTTTCACTTCTATTTATACTAAAAACATAAAGATTATAATTATCTACAAATTATTGGCCAATAATTAGATAAAGAAATTATTTAAGAAATATAATAAATTAATAGTGCAAGTTTATTAGGTTTACAGCACCTAACCATTGTTTCATAATTCATTTATCGATGGGTAACGATTTATTAGTTGTTACATTTGTAGATTTGTTATCTGTATCATAAATTATGATTCATAATTAAATAATATTTATTTAACTACATATTATGTCATTTATTCAGTTTATATTTATCGCATTTTCAAGTGGTTTTATATAAACGATTTATTTTATCATGTCGTATTACAAGCAATATTACAATTTAAATTCTTCTACCCCTCTAATCGGCATAATATTAATACACAATACTAATGTACTTAAAACTTGTTGGTACATTATGCACAAATATTTTTAAAGCTTAAGATCTACTATTTAGTTATTGATTATTAGAAAGATAATCTACAGGCATTAAATTACATACATGCTATGTATTGTCAGGACTTTGTATAACAAAAATTCTTACATTTATTTATAGTAACCAATGTATAAACTTTACAAATAATGTCCATTTGAGTTAAGCAATTATTATTTTTCTTCCTTTAATACAATCTAACTAATAATTGAAAATAATAGAATTGTGCCTCTGATTGTTGGCTTAAATGCAAAGCACTCTTTTATACACATATCAAGTGTAAAAGTAATGAATGAAACTATTGCTTGCATTCAATACAAACACTTATATGATTTACATTGAACACTGGGGGTGAATGACAGTCTTTGAAAGTGTACGGTTTGTTAGCATTAATGTTCCCACACTTTTAAAATGTAACCTTACGTAAAATGATGATTACCAAGTTTACAAGATTCATTAACATGAATGACCAACTCGTTCACCACAGTGTACACAGCATTATTCAAATGTGTTATAATTAATGCAATATTCATATCCATTAATGTTTATGGAACATGATTGCAATGGAAACAATGAATTCGCATTTTTAAAACAAAATTATTTGCTAATAATTTTGTACCGCAATTTTATTCACTTACATCAAGTATTTGTAAGTGAATGATGATGATCAATTTATAAAGTGTAAAAAGCGGCCAATTAATTCGTTCGCTCGAATATTTTTAATAATTATAAGACTAAAATTTATAAATTTTATTTATAGATTATTTACACATCTAATTTATAGAATTTAATCACGTGGCTTAATTAATATTAATATTGATTATAATGTAATATAATATTAGCTAGCATTAAGTCAAAATTATTTTAAAATATGTATTGAAAAATTTTATTGATTTCAGTGATAATGTCTTTAAGTCATACATTTGTCAACACATCTAATGAGGAAATTGGCGACCAATATATGGATAACAACACAGAAGACAATGGCGTTAACATTGATTACACGCAACCAATAGAAAGAATACTACACTATGTTTCATACGCTGCTATAATTGACACTGGTAAGATTTTTATTTGATTAATTTTTCTGTCAATGTTGACAAATTAATAGTTTTCACGAAAGTATGATTTACTCGAATATTATTAGATTTGTACGAAAGCCCAGAACCGGAGGCACAGGAAAGCGGTGTCCAAAGAGGACGACAACTCCAACAACAGTCACGACTGGTTGTAGTCTCCGGTCGTTCGCAACGTATTGTCCAAAATATATTGGACTTCGGGTTCGGCGGCGACCGGAAAGCCGACGACGAGTTTCGGACACTTCTGGACAAAGCCTTCAAAGGAAAGAGTCGTACGAATGGCTCGAATGGAGTGACGGATAGAGAGGACGACGAGTTGTGGCGCGGATTCGCTGTATTCACGAGAACTACAGATCGCAACGGATTTCAACAGATCTCGAGACGCATTGCGAGACAATCGGCACAAAACAAACCCAGCATTTGGTTTATGTTTACCGGTAATACATGTTTAGTATTTACTTTATTTATATATAGTATTAATTTTGTATTTAATCTTAAGGTATACGTCCAGGAATTGCACGTTCAGTGCCGGCATTGATGACAATCCCGGCATTTAAGGCATCGGTGGAGATGTCGGCCAAACTCCTGTCCCCTCTGGGCGTCGACGCCATCGAGTGTTTAACCGAAACAATGGATTGGATGACAGCATTGAGTAACAAATACTTTCATCGCGTGGTTATCGCAACGTCTGTGCATCACTTGGCATTCGTCGACGCACTGAACGCCATTGGGATCACTCCCGACGGCTATTTAGGCGGATCTCTGGGGGAACTCATGTGCTTATATATGGATGGTCTGTGCGATCGACGCCAATGTCTGGCCATTTGTCGCGCGTTTTGCCCGCCGGTCGGTCCGCACCCGTTGTGGACATTATACGCAACGAACGCGTGGCACGAGATTCAGAGCCATTGCATGGATAAGACCGACATATATGTGTCCGCGCATTTCTCGGATATTAATATGGCCGCAATCGGTACTGAAGTGGCCATTCGTGAGCTGCGCAAAGTGTTGGCTGACAACAAAGCCCTGGCCGTCCGCCCAAAACATGACTTTGTTCACGCGGGCAATAATTTAACACCTGATATGGGCCAAGCGCTACTAGACCAATTTACCAAGGTGGTGCCCGAGCGCACTTACTCTAAGCCCAGCGGTCGTTGGCTCTCCACATCACAGCCCACTCTCCTTATGGCTAACACCGGCGGCACTGATTCTGGTTTCTCTGCGGCCGAGAGTTTTGCCAATACTGTGTTATCTCCCGTATTGGTTAAGGAGGCCGTCGATCGCTTGCCCGCCGACGCACTGGTCGTTAATATTGCCACGACGTCTGGTTTACGAGACGACGCTCTAAGCGGTCGACCGCAGGAACTGTACGTCAAAGAGTCGGAGTCGAGTCCGGAGTCGGTGTTTGGTATCAATCATTTGTTCCGTGAGATCGGACTCGTGTTTACGGCCGGACACTGGCCTCGGGTTCACAATTTAATGAACTATTAGATTACTTCTCTGTTTTTGGGGTGTTTTCCATTTATTACTTTAAACTCTTGACTTTTTTTAAATTTAATTAAAAATATACAAATTAAACAATTTAATTTAAATGCATAATTTAAAGCCAGTACATAAACGACACATAGCTGTCAAATGTAATATAAAACTCTATTACACAAGAATAACAACCTTATGATTTGTCAACGGGTTTGATATTTATTATAAAAACAAATATTATTATTGTTTGTAGTAAAGTGAAAATTAAGATCTTGAACTTACAATGAACAATCAAGATTTCCCCAAGCCCATTTTACTGTCGATAATCATATAACAACAGTATAATTTTAGTTCCTAAAACTCTGTTATATTGTCAGATACTTTATGTGAGATTGAAAATTATATTGTCACAAATAAATTCAGCCACAATTATTGCCAAACTTATAATTTGACCATTATTTATTTTTGGGAAGCACTTTTTCCGCCGTCCCCGTCAATCCTCGTCCCGTCGATAAATTTTATATGTTTGTTTGATATATTAAGTCAATGTAGAATTCATCGATAAGTTCGAATCTGGAATTTAAAATGTTTTATCTCGAATATATTTTGAGTTATTCGGCATAGAAATTTTTATATCGAAAATTTTAAAATGATTGAATTTATTAAAATGATATATGCGTTCGATGTACAATTAAACGCTTATTTTGAATCTGAAATCTAAAATCGTCTACCTCAAATATCTTTAAAGTTATTCAAATTTTAACATTTTAAAGTCAAATAGTTCGAAAAGTATAGATCGGTAACGACAGAAATGGCCAAAAAAAGGCCAAAATTCTGTTAGCATTTATGTACAATATTATTGTGAGTAATACTATTCATTTATCAAAAACAACGATAGCACAAAACCTACGTCCCCTTAAATAATGTCTTTTGGCGTTCCTGGTATATCAGAGTGTTTAGAAAAAAATGTTCATTTCGGCCATAACTCAAAAACAATCAAAATAATTTGATTCTGTCTTCAGATTATAATAACACTCGCCCATGTCCACATCTTATATAAATTTTATTTGGATTGATTAACATTAAGGGTATTTATTTTCAAAAATACTGAGGAAAAAATTGTTCAAAAAATTTATTGGTATAGGAAAACTTTTTTCCTGTTTGATTAAAGTTATAAGTGTCTATATAATAATGATAGCTACACATCTCCTCTATAATCTCAATTAATTATATTATCTCAGCAAACTCTAAATTTTTTTCTAATAAGGGGTAGAACCAAGGCACCCATTGGCCAAAATAAATTTGGCAATTTTTTCAATGAGCTTTTTATTTTAAAAAAATTTTCCTAACAGACACTGCACTACACTGTAAGTTTAAAAAGATTATTGAAAAATGACAAATTTGAATTTTGTCCATAAATGCATTTGTTTTAACTTTCATTAAAAAATAATCCTAAATTTCAAAGGTAAAATTATATGTTTAAATTATAGAGGAGATATGTAGCAATGATTATTATATAGACACTTATGACTTTAATCAAACAGGAAAAAAGTTTACCTATACCAATAAATTTTTTGAACAATTTTTTCCTCAGTATTTTTGAAAATAAATACCCTTAATGTTAATCAATCCAAATAAAATTTATATGAGATGTGGACATGGGCGAGTGTTATTATAATCTGA